CCAAATTCTTTTGCCTGGAAACTTGAGTTGAATGTTGTGGTTTAAATCAAGAAGCAAATGGGTTTCTCAATGTGCATCCCATAATTAGACTGACTTCTACCCAGTTGCAGGATATGCTGAGTTGGAGCAGGCTTCCCCCACTGGGAAGAGAACTCAGTGGAACAGCATGTTCTCTGTGGCTGTCTTTTATCAAGAGAAACTAAAGAAAGGGTACAACCATATAGAACCCGGTCCTCCAAACTCACCAATCCATAGAGAAAAGAATGGCCAGGAGCAAGTGGTAATGGGACCTAAGAAGTGAGAACCATGGGTCTGTTCCTTACCGGTCTACCACCAAACCCTCTATACAAGGCTCCTGGGTGAACCAAGGGAACGTTTGGTCTCCTTCCCATGTGTAGACATGTCTATGCTGCCTACCTTCCCTTAAGTCCAGTGTTCACTGTCTTCTACTGTTATTCCTCTTCTACCCTACCTGCCCATAGTAGAATTGGGATCGTGATGGTGCTCCAGTGACCCTCCCTTCCTCATCTCCTTGAAGAGCTCTAACATTTTTCCACTTTTTTAAAATCCCCAAAAAGGTGTGGTACACATATTCCTCTACAATGGGGATTAGAAAACTCCCCAGCCTGCCAGCTGTTTTCATAAATAACATTGTCTTCAGTCATAGCCACTTATTAACTTACATGATGTCTATGGCTACTTTTGGCAACAGTGGCAGAGTTGTGAAGTTGTGACAGAGACCATATAGCCAGCATGTTTACTATTTGGTCTTTCACAACAAAAATTGGCCAACCTCTAAATTATTTCACGTTAGTCCTGTAAGATCTGAATGAGCCATGTTAGGATGTGTAGCCTTTATCATTTACTGAAAATAAAATCTATATTTTCAATCAAAGAAACTAACATGTTATAGAATATAAGCAATTTTACTTCTAGTAATAGTAAAATTGTATCTGGTCTTCAAAACTCTGGAAAAACACCAAGGGCACTGTATGTTTTCTTTGTAGACCAGAAGGAAGGACAAAGGCTAACTCTGGTCAGAAGTAGTTGTCATTGCCATTGGAAGGAAAGAAAACACATCATGTGTGGATCTTGGTGAGGCAAGAAGGAACGGGAGAATAGGATTGAGGGAGTGCACCAGCCCCAGGACCTGATGTCAGATCTTTTCAGACAAGTTGGCTTTCACACCCTGTACCAGCTCTGGAAATGGGTTCTTCCACCACATATGTGGCTGCCTGCCCTCCAGAAGACTGGGGCAGGTCACTAAGTGCCTGTGTCCCTTGAAGTTTACTTGCTTGTCAAGTAGAGAAAGGTGGAGAGCAGACCAAGTCATCAACAGTTTTACAAAAGATAAATTACTATGAAGACCTTATCGGATTTTCTTCTTCCTTCTAAATGGATGACTTGAAAATGAGCTTTTGAAGTCTATGTAGCCTGTAGAATGTAAATAATGTCTCAAAACTAAAACATCTTACTTCACGTTTCTCATATTTGTTTTTATTTATTGTTGTGGTATCTAACTTCTAAGATAATACAAAATAATTGTTCATCGTGATAAAATAATTCCCTTGGAAAAAAATTCAAGAGCTGTATTTCTTTCACTGTGACCTGTTCTTTTCCTTTGTTGTGTTCCACTTCATTTTGTGCCTTTGTTTGCAGAAATAATCTTGCAGATGGCAATTTCCCTTGTAATCAGTGATTGTCCTATCCGAGTCATCACCCAGCATGGCATTTCAGTAAATAGTGTTCTGCATTGCTTCCAGGCAGATGTGTTGTGTGCTTTCAAGAACACTGGCTGATAACCTTTCTGGCTTTTCAGGCAGTTGGGGGAAATAGAGAAAATTTAGTGTACTCACCTTGAAACAAGAAAATGGCCAAGGAAGCATAGATTTCATGCTGGATAATTCCATCTAAATGCAGTGTCAGTGTGGCAATGGATTAAGTAAGTGGCAACTATTTAAAATGAATAATCTTTTGTAGACTGAGTAAGTTTTCACAGTGGGTCTGTCATGGTTCTTATATATTTTGGTTGTATTTTTATATGCATTATTAATGTGGTACATACATTTGTATCCTGATAGTTACACATGCTGCCATGTACTTGTCTATACTCAAGCAAACTGAGAGCATTCTACTCTGGCTTCTCTATTTGCGTGTTGGGGATGGATCCTGACAGAGGATGGAATTGCTAAGGATAAAGCGCTTTTTGATGTGTCAATGTGTGAATACTGTAAACAGTATTCACTGTATACAGAATACTGTATAAAGGCAGTCAGAGCTTTGGACATCCTGGATTACAACAGTGGGTTGATGTAATAAATTTAGTTATTATATGCAAACCAAACTAGTAGTGTCTATCTTTCAGTACAAATTTTGAAAAGTACTATTAACTTTTTAAAATTTAAAAATTATCTCACCTTCTGTGAGGGACCTTATATGAATCTCTTAAAATCCTCTTTGTATTCTAGTTCCTCTGGCCGTGTGAATTATAGGCTGGTGATCCTTTGCTCTAGGTCTAAAATCCATATATGAACAAGTACATACCATGTTCCTCTTTTTGTTACTGGTTACCTCATTCAGGATGTATTTTTTTTTTTCAAGGTCCATCCACTTGCCTGTGAATTTCAAGATTCCATTGTTTTGTTTTTTGTTTTGTTTTGTTTTGTTGTTGTTGTTTGTTTTTTTTCTGCAGAGTAGTATTCCATTGTGTAAATGTGCCACATCATCTTTATCCGTTCTTCAGTTGAGGGCCATCTAGGTTGCTTCCAGGTTCTTGCTATTACAAATAATACAGAAGGGGAAAGGGACAAGAGCTCCAGAGTACATAGGGGGGCGGGGGCGGGCAGTGAGTGAAGAGGGAACTAGGAGAAAGAGAAGGGGAGGAGAGGAAAGCACGTGGGACTAGGAAGATTGAGTCAGGGGAGGAATAGACAAGAGAAAAGAGAGAGAGGGAGAGGGAGGGGGCCATTATAGGTTTGAAGAGAAAACTAAACCTAGAGAAATGTCCAGAGACCTACAAGACTGACCCCAACTAACAATTTGAGCAACAGTGGAAAGGCTACCATAAATGCCCTTCCCTGATAATGAGATTGATGACTAACTTATCCACCATAGCTGATGGAAACAGAAGCAAACACTCACAACTAAACATTGAACCGAACTGGAAGCCAGATGCAGAGAGGGAGGACAAGACCAGGCTACAGAAACACATAGAGACAGCTGACCTGAACAAGGAGGAGCTAACAGGCCCCAAGACTGATAGCTGGGAATCCATCATGGGACTGACTCAGGCCCCCCTGAACATGGGTCTCAGCCAGAAGGCATGAGCAGTCTAAGGGACCTCAGACAGTGGAACCAGGATGTATTCCTGGCGCACAAAAGGACTTTGGGGGCACATCCTCCGTGGAGGGATACTGCCTTAACCTAGAGACAGGAGAGGAGTCCTAGTCCCTACTCCAAATGACCTGACAGATTTAGATGAGCCCTCCTGGAGGGCATCACCCTACATGTGAAGTGGGAGGGGGCGATGGTCGGGGGGCATGAGAGGGTGGGAGAGAGTGAAAGAGGAAGGGAGGGAGGAAGGGAGGGGGAACTGGGATCGATATGTAAAATAAAAATTGTTAAAAATGTTAAAATAAGAAAATAACAATGATCTCACAATTATGTTACAAATAACAAAATGTCAAAGCCATAAATTTGCCTTTGAAATTGCACATATTTTAGAAGAAAGTTTTTGTTTTTTTATTAGCTACCTCTAAGTGTTTTGCCACAGATTTATAGGTGAAATACTACAAAGAGAAATTCACTAATTCATTGAACCAATAAGTATTGAATACCTTCTATTTGTTCTGAGTCCTGCCCAGCAACAGTCTTATTCGTAGAACTGAAAACATGGCCAATAGACGGAAATACGCATTGATTAGTCTATAGTGAAGCATTTGGGCATGATAGCTATCACCCGAAACCATCCATGGCTTCAAATATAACAAAGTTTATTTAGTTCTGTGTAGTTTTCAAGAGCCTTCTCTGTGATTGCCATCACTGATAGACTAAACATTTGTGTTTCATAGAAAAAGTTTACCTCAGTAAAGATTTTCATGATTTATTTCTAGTCCCTGCTTATAACATTGCTTAACATTAACAAATTCCTCACCTTAGATTTCTGTCAAACCACCATCCATAAGTGTGATAATTTCACTGTCACGTACATTCTTAAACTGACCTAATTTTATGGTAAGGACAATTTACAAATTACTAAATTAGCTTCTGATTATACTTCAGAGAAATAGGCTAATTGGGCGTGTACTGATATGTACCAGTCACTATTAGTAATAAGCAAATTAAAGCAGACCATTAATAAGTTTTTATATTTGCTCAACTGTGTATGCATTCTATGTCCTTTAAGTCAGCTGGTCCAAATTAGTTTAGTAATAGAATCTAGTGAGGCACCAGACTTAGAAATCACAGTGCTAACTGAAAGCTATTTATGTGTTTGTTCATTGTTCTTTCCTGCGGGGAACATTGCCTTCCACTTGGTTTATTATTACACAGAACTATACATATCTACTTTAATCCACAGAGACAAAAAAAAAAAAAAACATAAAGATTAAACCTTATAAAAACAAGTCTGGAGAACAGTTACTCATGTCATAAAGAAATTTGTGTTTTAAACTGGTTTTTCTGTCTTTAAGCCATCGCTTTCTTGGTTTGTTTAAAATATGAGTTGGTATACACAGTATGAATTGATTTTTTTTTTTTTTTTTGGTAAAAACTTATGTAAAGCCGGACACATTTCAGTGTGTGTTTATGGGCGACTCATAGGCCTGAATAAAATATATTTTATTGTTCTTAGAAACTAATTTGTTTACTTTGTAACAAGGGCAACAGTGGTCTCTTCCACGGCACAGAACATACAGTAACAAAAAGTACTGTAAACAAACAGAAGGCAATTGGTCATAACAGAACAGTTCTCTCTCTCTCTGTCTTTTTTTGCTACATAGGAGATACAGCAAATGAAATGAGATGTAAAACTTCCGAAGCAGAAGACAGCCAGTCTTTGGAGGTAAGTGAAATGCAGTAAGAATCCTTTGGGAGCAAAACTGATTCCACATTCTCCTGAGGCTAAGTAGTAACTCACACCAAGATGCAGGTGGTCTACGGATACTGGGAGTGAATTCCCAAGTATCCTGTGTTCTCTGGTGCAAGAAATGGGACCTTTGGGAGGGAGTGAAAAAGAAGAGAAGGATAGAGAGAAGAGGAGAGGGAGGATAGAAAAGGGAGAAAGGGAAATTAGGAAGGAAGGAAGGAAGGAAGGAAGGAAGGAAGGAAGGAAGGAAGGAAGGAAGGGGGCGAAAGAGAGGAATAGAGTTCCTGAGTTAGAACATTTTGACTACTTTGGAATGGTTTTTTCCCCCAGCACATTTGAATAGATAACATGCGACCTGTAGAGAACTCCATTGTCTATTTCTGCATCAGAGAGTACTTCCTGGCTCTTCTGGAAGAAAACCAGAACATGAATAGGCTGTTTTCTTCTGGAGGGGATGGTAGTGTGTTAGCACACTGTGTTGGCAGTGTTTAGTCACTGAAGCGACAATCCTTACGACTTCAGGGGATGTGAAGTAATGATGTAACACTGAGGTAGCAGGCTTGCCACACTTTTGCAGCTTTCTGCTCTGTGATGCCCCCACTTCTCATGAGTAGCAGGAGAGCCCTGCTGGTTCCAGCTGCAGCGAGTGGGTCAGGGGTCTGACCTGTTTGCTTCAGCATGGAATCCCCAGTGCCTAATACAGAGTAGGCGGTCCAAAAAATTTGATAAGTGAATACATTAATTACAATTAATTAGTTGCTAATGAGCTGTAAGTAGTAAGTTACATTTATTTTAAGGGATTTTTAGTAATTTTCACTGAGCAAATGTTTTATAATCAAGGGAAAACTTATTTAAATTGATGAATAGGAAGAAAAATCTTTTTTTTTTTAACTTACCTGCATTCGTTTTTCCATTCATTCATTCATTCATTCCACAAATACTTGCTAAACATTGACTATACCTAAGGCATAGTATAAATAACTGGCAGGTAGTGATGATAAAAACAGATGCAGGAACAAAGAAAATTGTCTGCCTTTTATTCTGAAATACCTTGATCTCTCTGTTTTATTTCACTTCAAGCTTACAGCAAGAGCTGACCCTGAGTACCATCTACGATAGTAATAGAAGTTGATGCATTTGAGGCTTAGGACTGCTTAAGTTTAATTGCTTAGTGTTTTAGCAGGCTACTATTTCAAAGCACCATACACTGTATACTGGCTTACAGACAATAGGAAATAATTTCTCTAAGTTCTGGAGCTTGAAAACCCAAGATCAGGGTGCTAACAACTTTGCTAGCTGATAAGAATCTGCATTGTGGTTCATGTATGTCACCTTCTTGTGTCATGGCACAGAGCCCTGATCATCACCCCTTATTAAAAGAACCAATCCCCCTTATGAACATTCCATCCTCATGACATAATTATCTCCCAAAAGCCACATCTCCTAATACTATCACCTTAAGAATTTGGTTTCCACGTGTCAAATGGAAGGAACATGGGTGCAGGGGAGGCACATTGAGACTTAGCATGCTTCATGATAAACTAGAATGTCTGTAGAGCTGGATAGTTTAGTGCTGTTTTTAAGTTTACTAGTCAGGAACTTCAAGGTTCCTCCCTAAGGAAAGGAACTTATTAAAGTGACAGTCTCCAGGTGTTTGGACTATGCTGTTTCTAGACTTTCTGTTAGAACAGTAGAGCTGATGGATGTACTCAGATGCATCAGAAGTATTTTTGAGCAGTGGAGAAGCGTGTGTTTGCTCTCTGAGAACACAAAGGAAACAGGGACACTTCACAGGAAATCACACAGTTAAATCATAATGCAAGAGGCTGGCTATGCCTTACCATAGAAAGCCAAAGTTATTTATCTTTACTTTAAGCATCTAAAATGCAATTCTCTGTTTCTCTTCTTTAAAATGTTGCTGTGCTGCTTAAATCATCATGTAGAAACAAACAAGAATGTGCCATCTACTCTGGTTGTTGATCTGGCTCATGATCGCACACTGTATTCTCTAGTCTGTGACCCTGAGCTTAACCTTTTAACCCACTGAGTACATTTTACTTAACATCTAAATATTTCAACCTTAACTTGCCCAGAGAAGGCTTTACTTGTTGATTTTTTTTTTGTGCACGCGCACATGTACATAGACAGACAGACAGACAGACAGACACACCAAGGCATTGCTGTCCAAGTTTTAACATCATCCCTTCATATCACTCACCATCATCTATGACATACATGATGTAGAACTGAATCCCCCAAGGCATCCTTGGCTCCACTCTGACCTTCACGTTCCATTTTTATCCCTTTCAAATCTTGTCATCTTAGGCTCTGTGTCAGGATTCCAGCCGTCCCCCAGCCTTGTCACTATTCGAGCAGTCAGAGCCACCCCTTTTACTGGGTTTTCACTCCCAGTCTTCCCCTAGAGGCCATTCTTCACATAGCTGACAGAAATAAAAGTCAGGTTGCATAATTCAGTGACTTGAAATGGGCAGAGTACTCACTAAGGAAAATGAGCACTACACTTAGAGAACCAGGCACTTCTCGTTCTCATTTCTCCTACATCCAACCCCCTCACCCCCTACCCACCCGCACCCCCTGCCCCCCCACTACACACACACACACACACACACACACACACACACACACACGCACACACACACACACACACACCGCCTTCCATGCCGCTGGCCTCCTGTCATTTGATGATGTTGAGCTCTTTCTCTCCTATTCCTTTGGGTTCCTGGCCCTCACCCCCATTACCAGAGCTTCCCTTGGCTCTTTGTTATGGTAAAAGTTACCTTTTATTTTGTAAGCATTTCTCATGACTACCTCTGCTGAAGTGTCCCTGCTCCAGTCAGCATTGCACAACCTTGTTTAATCTTCTCCACTACATTTGTCAGTTTGTCACTGTCTCAGATCATTTATTTACCACCAGCCCCCTGTCTAGAATTAAAATAGGCTTATATACTCAGATTCACATCTGGTAGATGAAATGTGCTGAAAAAGTGTAACTGATTAATTTCTTTCAATGCCATGATTCAGCTACCAAACTAAAGCCTAAGTGAGATTTGGATGCTTTTGTCTTACCACCTCATCCGGCACTGATGATTCTTCCTACTGAAGGTTTCATAACAGGCTTCTCTTCCACCAGCAAGGCCCTGACTTTTCACCATTTTTTCCTAAGATCTCTTTCCAAATAGTGGGGTTTTTACTTCTGTACCTCTATTTATTTAATGGCTGATAGATACATGCCATGCACAGCAAACAATATGTGTTTTGAACAAACATGCATATGTACACATATAAACAAAAATATACACATGTGCACAAACATATAGACACTTACACATACAAACATTTGCACATGTAAATTTACACAAATACACACATATACATACACACTTAAACATATATGAACATATACCCATAAACATACATATATGCAGATGAGTAAACATACATATGTACACACATAAACATACATGTGTACATACAGGCAGCCAACCAGCCATTTCTACACTTTTAAAGTGAATTGTAAATCTTTCTGCTAGTACAATAATTATAATTTCTTTATTAGACATTTACTCTTCAAAACTAAAAATCATTAAATTTTTTTGTTGCTAATGAAGAATCCAAAAATAAGATTGTATTAATGGGCAATTAAATAAATACTTAGTGTTTCATCTGTACAAACACTTAGATTGGAGCACAAGGAATTTATCCAGTTCATAACTGTAAAATTAACTGGACAGGCACCTACCTTTCAATGTTAGAATAATGAAGCTATATGTACAAAGTAATTCATCTCCCATAACCATTCTTGCCTGTCTCTTCCTGTTTTCAGTTAAGCTTTTTGAGTATGCTAATAGCTAGCTGGAGTTTTAACTTGATATTGGAAGAAAACATGCCAAAGGTGTGTGGAATTCCAACTCCTAAATTGATTTGTATCTTTCTTATCCAGTTCAGCCTCTTATAGTCATCTTTTATTGTCTATATACTATACCTTTCTTCATTATTCACTTGTGTTAAAAAATTATTTAAAAAGAAAACCTAAATATATTAGTTTCAAGATGAAATTGAATTAGCATACTGTGTTTAGTCTGTTTGCCACTGTGCGTTAAAACCAGGGAAACAAAGGCTGTTTCTCCCCATGCTCTCAGCGTTCCTTAATTACCTATAGCTCTTTGTGTTTGGTTGGGGCCCTGTGAGGTTTTTCCACTTCAATGCTGGCATGTGTACTCCTTACTCAGGTCTTGTTTAGGTAACCATGTTGGTGAGACTCATGAGTGTAGTATAGCTTCTGGAGTTTCTAGACTCCTGAGTTTTATAGCCTTCTGACCCCTTCTTCCAGGATGTCTCTTACCCTTGGGTGTGGCAGTTGTGTGGCCGAATTATCAGTTGGGGCTGGGTGCCACATGGTTACTTGATCTCGGCATTTTGGTTGGCTGTGTTTTTCTGTCTCCATGTGTTGTAAGGAGAAATTTTTTTGATCGGGGGTGAGAGCTACATTTATCTGTGGGTTTAAGGATACATATTTAGAGTGCACCTCGGAATTATGCTGGGTTAGTTAAGTGGTGATTGTAGTAGTACCTCAAAGATCCATGACATCACTAGCCCTGAGTCGTTGGCTAGGTTTCCACTACCAAGCATGCTTTCCCTCTTGTTAAGCAAGTCTTAAGCATAATTTGAGTTATTGATTGCCATCAAAGTATGCATGCCACAACTGCACCTTTAGGGTTCCTGTGCCACACTGATCATTCATAGGCATCATAGTTGGATAGGATTGTTGGTTGCTTTCCTCCTTTGGAAGCTTCATGATGCCTTCTAGTACCATGAAAGCTAATCTTCAAGGTGATTGCCTTCACAGGTTAGATTCAGCTCCAATCCTATGTCTGTGCCAAAAATGCATGGTGTCTTCAACAGTAGAGGTTTACCTTCTCAAGGGTCTTTTTGTATGTGTTGTGTCCCCATAATAT